GCCAATCGCATGGCAGCAACTCAATCCATTTAGGCATGTGATGAAGACAACTTGCTGAAGTTCAAAGGAGCATCAGAATGGGGAAGAAAGGGATTTAAGTGGCTTTGAACTTGGCATGGTTGTTGGTGCCAGACGGGCTGGTCTGAGTATTTAAAAAACTGCTGATCTGCTGGGATTTTCACATGCAACCATCTCTAGGGTTTACAGAGAATGGTCCAAAAAAGATAAAATATCCAGTAAGTGGCAGTTGTGTGGACAATAATGCCTTGTTGATGTCAGAGGTCAGAGGAGAAGGGGCAGACTGGTTGCTGCAGCATTCAGATGGTAGGGTCAGAACTTGAAAAAGCATGGATCCACCTTGCCTTGTATCAACTGTTCAAGCTGGTGGTGGGGGTGTAATGGTGTGGGTGAGGTTTTTTTGGCACTAGCAAGGTGTACCTAATAAGTTGGCCAGTGAATGTACAGTTTGGTAAGCTGCTATAATAAAGTTTAGCATGGTAGTATTATACTGCCCTTCCCCAGATGGCAGACTTGCGTCACTGTCTCTGCACCTTCTGGTGGCTGACCAATTGGATTACCAGAATTGAGGATATGATGCCTTGTGACCGCAAGCTGTTTATATTCACTTCAGCTCACAAGTTACTACAAGTAATCCATTGCTGGTGAGTCTGCACTATATTGCCAAAAGTATTGGGATGCCTGCCTTTATATGCACATGAACTTCAATGGCATCCCAGTCTTAGTCCGTAGGGTTTAATATTGACTTGGCCCACCCTTTGCACCTATAACAGCTTCAACTCTTCTGGGAAGGCTGTCCACAAGGTTTAGGAGTGTGTCTATGGGAATGTTTGACCATTCTTCCAGAGGCGCATTTGTGAGGTCAGGTACTGGTGTCGGACGAGAAGGCCTGGCTCGCAGTCTCTGCTCTAATTCATCCCAAAGGTGTTCTGTCGGGTTGAGGTCAGGACTCTGTGCAGAGCAGTCAAGTTCCTCCACCCCAAATTCACTTATCCATGTCTTTATGGACCTTGCTTTGTGCACTGGTGCGCAGTCATGTTGGAACAGGAAGGGGCCATCCCCAAACTCTTCCCACAAAGTTGGGAGCATGAAATTGTCCAAAATGTCTTTGTATGCTGACCCTTTAAGAGTTCCCTTCACTGGAACTAAGGGGCCAAGCCCCAGCCCAAGCCCTGAAAAATAACCTCACACAATAATCCCCCCTCCACCAAACTTTACACTTGGCACAATGCAGTCAGGCAAGTACTGTTCTCCTGGCAACAGCCAAACCCATACACGTCCATTGGATTGCCAGACAGAGAAGCATGATTTGTCACTTCAGAGAACATGTCTCCACTGCTCTAGAGTCCAGTGGCGGCATGCTTTACACCACTGCATCCGATACTTTGCATTGCACTGGTGTTAAGCTTGGATGCAGCTGCTCGGCCATGGAAACCCATTCCATGAAGCTCTCTACACACTGTTGTTGTGATAATCTGAAGGTCACATGAAGTTTGGAGGTCTTTAGCTATTGACTCTGCAGACAGTTGGCGACCTCTGCGCAACTGTACTCTTCAGCATGTGTTGACCCAGCTCTGTCATTTTATGTGGCCTACCACGTCGTGACTCAGTTGTTGTTGTTCCCAGTTACTTCCACTTTGTTACAATACCATTAACAGTTGACCGTGGAATATTTAGTAGCAAGGAAATTTCATGGATGCACAGGTGGCAACCTATCACCGTACCATGCTTGAATTCACTGAGCTCCTGAGAGCGACCCATTCTTGCACAAATGTTTGTAGAAGCAGTCTGCATGCCTAGGTGCTTGATTTTATACACCTGTGGCCATGGAGGTGACTGGAACACCTGAATCCAGTGATTTGGAGGGGTGTCCCAATACTTTTAGCAATATAGTGTATCTTATTAACAATAAGTAGTGAGGACTCACTTTACCATCTCATCATGTCTCATACCCAATACGACCAAGGAATGAATCAGACTCTTACTTTGTGATACATTGTGGTAAGGTGTGCATTACTGCAGTGCACATTATGTGTGTTAGTATGTTGCACTGCCATTATGCTTGAATAGAACCCAGTACTCTAAAGCAATGCAGCTCTGACACACATACATTGCAGCGCACTACAATGCAGGGTAATGCCCTACTGTGCATTGTGTTGCGTTGTGTTGGAAAAAAAAACTGCATGCTGTTTTTTTCCGTTCTGAATTGGCCACCATAATGCAACACACAAGATCAGCAAAGTGTGATTGGGCCCTAAAAGTTAAAGTATATCTAAATCTTAACTTTTTTAAAGTTTTTGGATAGTTTTCACCCCCTCAGGCTTACTTTGAAGCTGAACTCCAGCTCTGGAGTGTGGGAGAGCCCCCGCCATTCTCACGTACAGTGCAGAATTGCTGTCCCTTCAGTGTACATGATTACATTGGAAAGATTTGGTTGCAAACTGTGCAACCAAATTAATCCATCAAAAAGTGTCAGACACTCAAAAGGGATCTTCAATATTTCCAGATCATACAGCTGCACCTCTAGTAATGTTGTGTACCTTATCCAGTGCAGAAAATGCAGCAAAGGATCTTATGTTGGCAAAACAGGACAGAAGTTGCAAACAAGGATGAATTTGCACAGACATACCATCAAGGAACATAAAGAAGATGACTTCTGCACACCTGTGGGACACCTTTTCGCACAACCAGCCACACAATGGAAGACCTCAATGTTTTAGTTCTTAAAGGAAATTTAAATCCATTCAGGAAAGAAAAAATTTTGAACTAAGAATGATAATTCTATTTGACACGAGAGATAACGGCCTGAATTTGGACATGAGATTCCTCAATCCTTATCCAACAGTTTTATGACTATCAGCTCAAGCTTGACTCCCTCTGTGATGTGAGTGTTGTCTTCCCCCCTCTCCCCCTCCCCCTTTGCTTTTGCTGTGTCTTATCTCTAGCCTCTTTTTTTTTTTTTTCATCTCTTCTAACATTCTGCTAAAACTTTGTGATTTGTATAGTACTGCTTGGACCTTGAAGAAGGGGACACTCCCCGATAGCTTGTCCTCAAAATTGTATGTTAGTGCAAATAAAAAAAGTATCACAGACAGTACTGAATTGTTTCTTTCACAAATGCACTAATATGGCTACAATCACCTCAAGCAAATTGGAAAACCTACAAACAGAAGAGGAATGAGGGGAAGTAACTTTGGGGAGACAGTATGGGGGATGCCTGTTAGAGTGAGGAATAAGGTAAGTATAGCTGCTTGCTCCTCTACCTCAGCAGTGAACCCTTGCAATAAGAGGCAAAGGGGGCAATTATAGGATCATTTAATCAGATGGCCAAAGTTGGGACTTTAAAGTAATGTCTGGTGATCCTGCATGAAGGTCCTTTAACAAGGGACTGCTGATATTCAGAGACAACTTTCTACCAATCATGCTCCTGTGCTATGTCATCCTGTCGTCCAATGCACCCCTGATGGAGACTACAAGAGGTCATACCGACATACATTGTGCAGTGATGGTCGACTATTGTCACTATCAGGAAGGTGGTCCTGAGCAAAGATCTGCAGGCATTGCTGGAGTGAGAGCGTGTAGACAAGAAAAGGCTGAAGAAGGCTGGAGAAGATCAGCAGCACTCAGATGCAAAACAAGGATGAAAAAAAGTAAAAACAGTATTTGAGGAGAAAATAAAATGATACTCGGTGATTTAGCAAACTAAATGCCATTCAGTTAAGGTTTGGTTTTATTTTAAGCTCACAAATCAAAGAATGGTAGAATTCTTCCTATGGCGCAGTGCAGGGTGCATCCAGCATATACACGACACAGAAGCATCAGTATGGCACAAAAATGTCACACTCTTAATATTTACATAAGCTCATGGACATAGATCTTGTCTGCTTGTCACCATGGTGTACATGGTCATTCCCTGTACTGTGTTACACGAGACGGTAATTTGCACTACATTCTGTTAACACTAGCCATATCTCTATCTTAGCCATTATCATAAAATAAGATACGATGGCTGGCTTACTGCAAGATCACAAATGTCCAGTACGGGAAAACCGTATCCATAATATTTATATTCCATCTAAACCAGCTCTCAACATCCAGGACTGCACCGAGCCCTGTGACGTTTATGGAGGGAGCGCTCATGACACAATGTCATATATTATTTGCTGCAGAAATGTATACATGGCCTCATATCATTATACAATACAGCTATTTATGGAAACGCTCATTTGGAGTTTTGTGTCGGGAGCGGTGGGTATAGATTTGTCATAACTGACATGCACAATGTAAGCAGATCCCGAGCAGATCTTGTTTAGTATATCTTCTATACTTTCCATAAGAGTTTACAAGAAAGTTTAAAGTTACCTTGAAAAATGTGAGGTTTTCCTAAAATGGGTCACTTCCAGCTATGAAAATCCAGTCTAAAAATAGGGATGCAGGAAAATAATATAAATTTTGTAATCCGGCTTTCTTTTCCTATAAACAAAAAGTCATTCTCTTGATGAGTTTGTAATTATTCATATGATCCTTGTCTTCTCATACCTTCTCCATCACCTGCTTTTTTTCCCCATCCTGATGGTCTTCATTAACACCTTCATGTTTTTCAGTTTAATGTGCACCTGTTAAAGTGTTACTAAACCCAGGACCCTGCATTCACTATATCTGCTCTCCAACAGTACTCAGAACATGGAAATGAAATTATTTTAGTAAATATAAACTGCTAAATACCTTTTATCATCAGCAGTGTATAGCAGTCTTGTGACTTCTATCAGTGTCCAGCTGAGCACTCTTTAAAGCTTGTAGGAGGGGTTTTAATTCTCTTTTCACTGACCTATGAGATTGCATAACCCTTGGCCCTCTGTCTAGACAGTGTTGATTGGCCCTGTGCTGATCACATGCACCCTACAAAAAAAAATAAAACATTTTCTAGCAGTACACAAGAAAATGAGCATGTGCAGAATGTCTCTGAAGCTGTGTTCTATCAGGAGATGAAATGTCGAACCTGAAAGAAGGGGAGGATCAGAGAAAGCCAGATCTAACATCCTTTTTACACAATGCAGAGATTTAACCCCTTAAGTTCCACAGTGAGTATAACAAGCATGCTTTACTGCATAAATAGACTGATTTTACTGTTGTGGGTTTAATAACACTTTAAAAAACTACACCCCTACTAGTCAACTTCACCAGTCACAGGATTAGTGACGTTCAATGCCAGGGGATTAGTACTGGTATTAATATGACTGTGGGTTTGGTTCTTCAAACAGAATGAGCTACATATGGTGCACAAGGGTTTACTTCAGTGTTATTATTGTTATTACTATTATAGAGGACTTATATAGTGCCAACAGTCTGCACAGCTTACATTCTAATAGGGAGGGGGGGTTGGTGGAACTAAAGGTGATAACTGTGGGAGATGAATTGATGGAAGAAATAAAAGATTCTGTTATTAGCTGAAGGCAGGATTAGCTTCCCTGAAGAGATGAGTGTTCAGGGATGGCCTAAAAGTAGACAGAGTAGGAGATCACCGAACAGATTGGGGTAGGGATTTCCAGAGCGGCTCTGGAGAAGTCTTGTAGACGAGCATGGGTGAAAACAAGGGAGAGAGAGAGCAGGAGGTCTTGGGAGGAGCAGAGAGGGCAGTCTGGGTAATATTTGTAGACAATATTGGTGATGTAGCTCGGGTTAGAGTTGTAAATGGCTTTGTATGTTATTGTTAATGTTTTGAATGTTATTCATTGGGCAATAGGAAGCCAGTGGAGGGATTAGCAGAGAGGGTGGTGGATGCTGAACAGTTGGTAAGGTGGATGAGTCAGACAGAAGCATTTAAAATACACTGATGAGCTGATAGCCTATTAAGAGGTAGGCCCATGAGGAGGGAGTTTATAGAAGTCAAGTCGAGAGATAACAAGAGAGGGAATAAGTTGCTTACTGGTTTCAACGCTTAAAAGGGGGCATATTTTAGAAATGTTATGGAGGTGAAGTTTACAGGTCTTGGACAGCAATTGGATTTTGGCCTGAAAGTACAGGTCAGAGTCTAGGATTACACCAAGTACCCTGGCACGAGGGAAGGGGTTGATCTTGATGAAGAAGTCAGAGGATGGGGCACCAGCTGGAGAGAATATTATGAGCTCAGTTTTAGAAAGATTGAGTTTGAGGAAGTGGTGTGACATCCATGCCGATATGTCAGTTAATAAGTTAGTAATGCAAGAGGAGACTGAAGAAGTGAGGTGAGGAGTAGAGAGATATACTTGGGTGTCATCAGCATAGAAATGGTACTGGAAGCCATGGGAGTTTATCAAGTTTAGAAGGGAGAAGAGGAGGTTTATGAGGACAGAACAGAGTTATAGGTAACACCGAAGATGCAGTGTGATAGGTAGGAGGAGAACCAGGAGAAAGCAGAGTCTTGAAGGCCAAGAGAATAACGTTTTTTGAGGAGGAGGGGTTGGTCAACAGTATCAAAGGCCTCAGAGAGACCTCGTAGTATGAGAATAGAGTAGTGGCCATTAATTGTAGCCTTTAGTATCTGTAGGGGAGAGGAGTTTTAGTAGAGCAGTTTCAGTGGAATGGAGTAAGCAAAAGCCAGACTGTAAGTAGTCAAGAATGTCGTTGTCAGTAAGGTAGGAGCTTAGACAGTTGTAGACCAAGCATTCTAAAGGTTTAGAGGTGAATTGGGAGCAATGAGATGGGTCTTAAGTTGTCCTGGCTAGTGGGTTCCAGTGAAGGCTTTTTAAGTATGGGGGTGATCAGCGCATGTTTTAGAGGGAAGGGGAAATGCCAGTAGAGAGGGAGAGATTGAAGATGTGCATGAGGGAGCATAGGATAGAAGAAAAGGGTGACCGTAGTAGTTGTGAGGGAACTGGGCCCAGCGGGATAGGTGGTAAGGTGGGCTTCTGAGAAAACTTTAGCAAACTCTTCAGTAGTAGAAAGGTATAGCAGTTGTAGAGGAAAGCATTAAGGATGTTTTTGTACAGGGTATGTTGAGTGGGATAGATATCTGTGCAGTGGAGATGTCCCCACAAATTGCATCAATTTTGTTTTTGATGTGATTGGCAATCTTGTGAGCAGTGAGTGAGTTACTAGATGAAGGTGGTGGTGAAAAGACTTGTGGCAGGAATGGGCTCAGCACAGGTGGTGCTGGGGCTCACCTGCCTTGTGGGGCTGCAGTACCAGTGCTGGTCAGCGGGTGCTCTCAGCAGCCAGAATCTCACTCCTGCAATCAAGCCATCACCTGAGGCTGATTGCAGGAGGTGTATTTAAGCAATGGCCAGGCCTGCAGTCAGTGCCTTGGTGTTTGTTCCCATGAGCCCCTGTACCTGCATCCTGTCTGATATTCCTGCCTGATATTTCTGCCTGCTCTGGACTCTGCTAGAACTCTGCCTGCACCAACCCCAGCTATTCCTGACCACTCTCCTGCCTGCTCCTTTGTACCTTGTCTGCCCGATAGTTACCGACCCGGCCTGCCTGACTACGTTTGTGTTCCCGCACATACTAGGATCTGTTGGAGGTTTGGTTCTTGCACTGTGTGTTTGGGTGTACTGTGTAGCTTTTAATAAATTATATTGTTTTACACCATACTTGAAGCCTGCGTTTCCCTGTGTCAGTCCACACATCTCTGGTCATACTTGGAGCCCTGACAACTAGAGAGTTAAAAGTAGAGAAGAGACAAGGAGGACTGGATGACAGAATATTAATAAGAGTGACAAACTATGCTTTTTTGGCAGCATGGAGGGAGGAATTGTATTTTAAAAGGTCAGATTTATATAGAGTGAATGTTTTCCGGGATTTGGTTTTACACCACAATCGCGCCAGTACACGGCTATGTCTCTTAATATTTCTAGTGTCATCAGTCTGCCAAGGTTGTTGTTGTTGGGGCCTGATACATCCTGTAGTGAGAGGAGCAAATGAGTCCAGCATGGATGAGAGTGTAGTCAGAAGTGGCCAGGTTAGGACAGGAAAGGGGAGATATTTTGTCATAGAGGTGGTCAGTTTGCAGAGTAGAAAAGAGAAGGATTAAAGTGGAGAAGGTTTCTACAGGTAATTGCTGCTTGGAGAGATAGTTGGTTGAAGACAAGGATACTGTGAAAGCGATGAGATTGTGATCAGAAAAAGAATGTGTGGTGTTGTTGAGGTTGCCAGGAGTGAGTGGAGGACTGTGTCCATTGTGTTAGGTCGAAAGATGAGGTTAAGTTGAAAAGTTGAGATGTAGCTGGGCTATTAACATTAATGCGGATGTTAAAATCACCAAGAATGATAGTGGGTATTTCAGAGCAGAGAAAGTAGAGTAGCCAGGCAGAGAAGTCATTATCCTGGTTGGGTTAGTGTTAGGTTCAGGGGTTGGGGATTTATTTAACTTTTAGGAGGGTAAGTATTCGTAGGAAGGGTATTGAGAATTAAGGGTTCACTTCAGGGGTGTAAGTGGCGTATTTCTAAAAAAAATATACATAGTTGTTTGACTGTTAAAACTGCATGTAAATTCTTCCTGTGCAAATGGGGCAAAATGGAATGTTCTCAGGCTATATTCTCTATATATTGAGTTTTATTCATTGATAAAAGAAAACAATGTGATGGAGGAAAACAAAATCAAGAAATATACAAATATTTATCCTAAATATATTTATTGAGCTGGATAATGATCAAACAGGTTAATAATGTCTGAAAATAGGAAACATTTGTTTGACTTTAACTTGCTGTTATGAAGCATGTCTAAGCCTAAGTGATTTATAACAAATGTAATACATTAAAATTGCATAAAAATTTCAAACTGATTTCCTTCCTTTCTAACAAATATGTTCTAACTATGAAAATGCATACTTTATGAAGGAGGACTTCGCTCAGTCAGCAAAGGTAAATTATGTTTTTTTTTGTTTATATTTTGAGGCTTGAGCATCACATGGTAAATTAAATTAGGACTTGTTTAGACTGTGATACAGGAGCAGGCAGGGGTGGTCTGAATATTTGGAAACTCGGGCACTGCCCGAGGGCCCGGGTTCAGTAGGGGGCCCCATGAGATGCCCCTGGTACCTTTTGAGTTGAGTTTGAGCAAAGACACAGGGGCCCCATGATCCCCTATTGCCCAGGGGCCCCATGAGTTGTCAGTCCGCCCCTGGGAGCAGGGTTTGATTTGCAGAAGGTTAGTCGAAATCTGTTTGAAATTTAATATCACTGAAGTCTATAAGAAGTGAATCTTGTCAGTAATTTCTGGCCATTTACAGGGCTAATAGACAAGCTACTGTCAAAAAAAGGCACAGAAAGGTAGGCACTGCCATGAGGGACAAGTACAAATGAAAAAAAAATGTTAACAAATACTGGATAGGAGAGGGTCTTTTCATGTTGCATTCTTTAAATTATACACTTAATATTACTATTCGAGATTTATATAGCGCCAGCAGTTTGGTCAACTCTTTAAATATAAAGGGAGTACAGTAACAAACAATTTGATACAAGAGGGTTAGGAGGGCTGTGCTACTGAAAGCTTTCAATCTAATAGGGAGGGGCAAGTGGAACAAAAAGTAATAACTGTGAGAGATGAGCTAATCGGAGAAGTAAGTGAGTCAGTTGTTAGCTGAAGGCAGGATAGGCTTCCCTGAAGAGATGAGTTTTCATGCATCACCTAAAAGTGGACTAAGTAGGAGACAGCCAGACCGATTGAGGCAGGGAGCTCCATAGGATGAGAGAGACTCTGGAGATGAGTGTAGGAGGAGGAAACAAGGGAGCTAGAGAGCAGGAGGTGGAGTGGAGAAGATGGTGTGGGTGATATATTGAGACAAGATTGGTGATGTAGTTCAGGGCAGTATTGTAAATTGCTTTGTATGTATTTGTTAGTATTTTGAATTTCTAGGCAATCAGAAGGTGATGGAGGGATTGGCAGAGAGTAGTGGAGGACACTGAGTAGGTAATAAAATGAATGAGTCTGGCAGCAGCATTTGTAATAGACTAAAGGAGGGATATCCTGTATAGTGGTAGGCCTATGAGAGCTACAATAGTCAAGGTGAGAGACAACAAGGAAGTAAATTAGTTTCTTAGTGGTCTCGTGGTTAAAAAAGGGCTTTTTTGGAAATATTCTACAGTGCTTGGATTTGGGGCTGATAAGACAGGTCAGACTTCAGGATTATATCTGGCATCCTGGCATGAGGGGAGGGACTG